TGAGGTGTGATGGCTGGAAGGAAGGCCAGGATTGAAAAGAAGGACCGAGAGACTTGCACCTGTGTCTAGCAACAGGCTGTTTTCTTGTTCCTCCGTAGTCATGATTACCCAGGGCTCCTCCATGGAGAGGACAGTCTGGCCAGAGGGAGAAGGCAGAGTATGCCTCAATCTCTTGACTGCTGGGATTATAGCACTTGGAGCACTCATCCGTGTGGTCAGGGGCTCGCCGTGTCCCTCTTGGCCTGTGAGCTGTCTTTCACTGCCTGGCCCTCTGATGCCTCTGCTTTCTCTGCAGACTGTGCTCAGAAGACAAACACCTCGTGTGAAGAGTGCCTGAAGAATGTCTCTGTAAGTAACTCGGCCCTGAGTGCCTTCTCCAAGTCAGGGGAGTCGGGGTGTGGGGGTGTGAGTGAATGAAGGGTTCTGCTGCCTGGGGTTTATTGGGTATTTTCACGACGGTTGCTAAACATGATGCAGCCTCTCTGGAGCGAGTTAAACCTTTTGAGGAAACCTGCGGGTACCCCGAGTACAGTCCATGTTGGCAGTGTCACCCTGCAGTAGGCGGTTGGGAGCAGGAAGTGTGCAGGCTGGGGCTTCCTGCTGCTGGTCGGGAAGCAGCAAGTACACCGGCGCTTGATGACGAGTGCTGAGACAGGCACTAGTATGCGACTTCTGGCCCAGGATCGCGTCTTCCTGTGGGGTCGTAGGCTTCCGAGATCTGTCAGGGTGTAACTATGCTACAGCATTGCTGTGTCCCATCAGGAGATGGAGAGAGAAGGACTCTTGCTTTCCCTCTGCTGTCAGGGCGTGGGGGGAGGATCCGTCAGCTCTTTACACGGGAACAGGTGGCCCTCAAGGCCACCTGGTACCCTGGGAAGACTCGGCCAATCCACTGGGTTTTGCCCCTAGTTCCCTTAACTAAATGCCTGCATGCCCTTGAGCAAGAAGGTCGCAGTTCTGAAGCAAGTTCTATACTGCCTCATTTAATAAGGGGGACCCCTCTTAGGTGGGTGTCCCGGGTTCTGAACAGATCGGGTCACCTTGTCTTTTGGGAGAAGTAGGAAACAGCACTCCAGCATGGATGACGCACGTCTTTTTCGGGGCCTTGTGGCTTCTGTCTGCCTGGCCTCTGTGGCTGCACCCCCAGAGGAGCTCCGGTGCTTCCTATTGAGTTCAGCACTGTGCGGTCCTGAGTGGGAGCTTGTTTGGGGTTCCAGCAGGGAACGCAGGTGCTCCCACACCTTTGACCGAGGAACGCCCTCCTCGGTCGGGGGTGGTTGTCTCCGACCGAGTGCGCAGCTTGGGAGGGACGCACATGCAGCGGTGAGGGAGGAAGGGGATACCGCCTAGTCAGCCAGATCAGCTGCATCAACCGTGGCAATCTGTGGGGTGACACAGGTCGCTGTGAGGTTACCCTCACATCCTGTGTGGTCCCATTCGGGAAGCCCAGGGGAGGGCAGTTGGGACGGAAAACAGCTCAGTGGCCTTTTGGGGCACCCCAGGCTGTGTGTGTGTGCACCTCCCCTCTTCCTCCATGTAGGTCTCACCCTGTGGCAGGTGGTCGGGAGCCAGAGCACAAAAGGTGGACTAGCTGGCTTGTGCTCTGAGATGTTAGCTGTGTGTTAACAGCTCACCAGGGGAGTACGTAGTGCAGGGTTGAGAGGAGTACGTAGTGCAGGGTTGAGAGGAGTTACATTGCCCTGGGGGCTCAGAGGGCCTGCTCTGGTGGGTCTGGTCACCTGGGTGTTGTTTTCTCAACTCTGTTTCTTTGAGTCTCTGGATCTTCCTTCGCCTATTCACCCGTAAAAGGAGCTTACTGTTCAGGCGTTGGCTGAATGGACTCAGAGGCCCCATTCAGCCTATGTGTTTGTATTGCCCTAGCATGTGTAGGGAGGGTACAGAGTCCATGGGGGGGACCACCCAGACCACAGTGGGTGGGGCTGGCCCAGGAGAGCGCTAGGCCTCATGCACTCTGAACCCACCAAAGCAAGTTGGAATGGTCAGGGCAGCGGGTCTGCCCTGGGCCCACAGCACCTGTCCTTGACACACAGGCTTCCAGAAGGGTGTTCAAGTGCCTGACACCTCAGGAGTGCTAGCAGGCCAGGTGGGCTGCAGGTGAGGCTGCAGCTGCAGCATGTGCCCTGTGCTCACCGAGCTGTTCACCACGTGCCTGTTGCTTCAGCTAAACAGGCAACCAAGCTGGTTGTGCTTGCGCACACCTGTATTCCTTGCTCTGGGACACTGAGGCAGGAGGAGCACAGGTTTGAACCCACCCACCCTGGGCAACTTAGCAGCCTAAGTTCCAGGATTTTAGAAAAGGGGTGAGCAGTGGTATAGCTCAGTTGAAGGCCCAGGTTCAGTCACCAGTACCACCACACAGGAGCATGCTGTGTCCACTCAGTGAATGCCCTGTATGAAGGTGAACAGTTAAAAACATTTACAGCTTGAAGCTGGGCATGGTGGCACATGCCTGTAATCCCAGCACTCAGGCAGCTGAGGCAAGAGAATTGTTGAAAGTTCAAGACCAGCTTGGACTACAAAGTGAGCTCAAGGCCAGCCTGAACTGCATAGTGAGACCCTGTCTCAAAAAGACAGAAAACAAAAACATTTACAGCTTGAGCTGTTGCATATGGAGAACTAGCTACAAATTGCTGATCCAGGGCATAACCAGCAGTGTGGAAGGTGATGTACAGATTTACTGCTGTCTGCTGGCTCTGGTTCTGAATCTCTGTAAACATGAGACTCAAGGCAGGAAGTATGGGGCCTCTGAGTCCATTCAGCCAACACCTAATGTGTGCACCCCTGGACCAGGCCTTGTCGTGCGCCCTGGTGCCTGCCCACGTGCAGGGCTTGCTAGACATCCTGCATGGGATGCCTTAGGAGGGGGCAGTGCTGCACGTGAAGAACATGCAGGTCAGGGGCAGAGCAGCAGAGGCAGGGTGTGTTGCGTCCGGGAAGAAGGATGTGCAGATCAGATGTCCAGGGAAGAGGGCAGCTTTCAGGACCAGTGTGGAGGCACCCTGGGCTGGGGCTGGGGCTGGGGCTGGGGCTGGGGGCGGGCAGGTCTTGGGCACCCTCTAGTCGCAAGGCCATTGAGTGAGACCACAAGGCCTGGGAGGGCAGCTGTCTGTGGTGTTGGGCATTGACCAGCGGCCAGCAAAGTCAGCAGGACTGGTTGGGGTGCTGCTGGGACCCAGGGAGGGGAACCATTGAAGGTGGCCGGGCTGGTCCAGGCTGACACAGGGGCCCACATTGGTCTCTCCAGTGTCTGTGGTGCAACACTAACAAGGCGTGCTTGGACTACCCAGTGAGAACGATCTTGCCGCCTGCTTCTCTCTGCGAGCTGAGTTCCGCACGCTGGGGCATCTGCTCGGGTAAGTCATCGTTTCCATTTACTGTTTGCAAAATTAGTGCTTTTCTGATCATTCTGGCATGTGTGCAGCATAAATGGCTAGGAAACACGCTCATGTGGCTCGGAGCCACGCCCATAGAGAAGGAAGTGGAGGCTAGGTTGCCTGAGTCTAGACCAGCAGCCAGATCCCTGGGAGTCTGCAGGACTTCTTCAAGGTCATGGGGCAGTGAGGGGCAGGGCCGGTCTTCTTTGTCTGCATTGCAGCCTGGATCTGAATGTGCTGCCCTTGAAGCCAGCGTGGGCTCCCCTGGGACTCTGCATCCCCGGCTTAGGACTCCTGCAGCCGGATCTCCGGCTCTTGTTTCCCATGTCTCTGCTTGTGGTGGATTGTACAGGTGTTCTTCATGAGACTGTCCTTGGAGGGATCAAATTGTTTCCTTGTTTGCCTTTTGCTTTGTGGTGTGTCTTGCAACTTGGAACTCATTTTTCTGCTTTTTTTTTTGGAGACAGGGTCTCGCTGTGCAGTTGAGGCTGGTCTTGAGCTCACTTCGTAGCCTGGGCTGGTCTGGAACTCACAACAATCCTCCTGCCTCAGCCTCCCAAGTGCTGGGATTACGGGTGTGTGCTACCATACCTGGCCTTGCGCTGAATTTTTTAATCTTTTGTGGCTTCAGCCTTTGGGGTCAGAGGCCTGCTTCAGCTCATGAAGGGGCTGGTATTTCCTTAGAGCACTTTGTGTGTGTTTACAGCGTGTCCTTGAGCCTAATCTTTACTCACCTGTCCTCTCACTCAAGGACAGTGAGCCTGTTAGAGACCAAGTGCCCAGACTGCAGCCCAAACTGACTTACTCGTGGCCAAGTGCCAGCACTGCAGTTACATGCGAGTACTGGGTGCTGGAGAGACAGCAAGGGCGTGGCAGGGCCACTGCGGCACACATGCCGTTGGCTCGCCACCAGGGTTTCGAGTCACAGTCTCACCCCTTCCCTCTGAAGCAGCTCTCCAGACGTTGCTGTGGGGTTGTGATTGGGTGTGCCTGTGTGTTCGTTGTCCACTCTCCTGTGTCTGCCGGTTCCCGCCATGCCCCACCTGCCCGCAGCTCCCTGTGTCCTCGCAGCCCTCACTGCTGCCGCTCTCCGCTGCTGCCCCCTGCCCAGCGCCTTTCCTTCCCCCCTGTTGCCTCAGGCGACGCGTCACTTCCCTGCAGTGCCCACGCCTCAGTGTTGCCGTGTTGTAGCCTGTCGGATGTCACACACGTATGTGGTCAGAGGTGCTCAGCGGGTTGTCGCACACATGTGCAGTTATCACCACTAAAGCAGAACATGCGGGCCATGTCCAGATTCTCAGGGCCATGTTCCTGTCCGTCCACCGTGACCATGTACTGACCTCCCCTCAGGACACTCAGCGCTGCCCATTCCTGAGCCTCACGTGGAGGCCGTGGGCAGCACCCAGTGTGTCAGCCGCCTCGCTTGTGCTCCCTGAGTCTGTCAGTGGGTGGGGCCCTCTGCGTGTTGTAAGCCCTGGGCATATCAACTTCTGGCTGGCACACATCCCTGCCGGTGTCTGAGGTAATCTGGGTGTGCGGCGCTGTCGTGGAGGTGCTGATCGCGTGTCTCTGAGGACCAGGGATGTGAGCAGCTTTCAGGTGGGGTGTTTCTGCTATTCTCTTGGGAGAAGAGAGTCCCACCCGAAGGTGAGGGAGGTGAAACACATGACACCTAGCCCTGAACAGATGAGATGAATGGCTCGAGCAGTCACTGCATGCCACCTGGGCATGCGGAAACAGTGTGCGCCTGTGGGAGGCCGAGGGTGGCTGGCTCCCTGCGTCCCAAACAGCTTGCGACTTCCAGGCTGCCCGGTGCTGAAATCCTTCAGAGGCACTGAGCCTGCACCGCGCCTGGCCCTGGGTTGGGGTCATAGAACTGGGCTCCTCTCTTGCGGGAGGAGAAGGCAGCTGTGGATGTGCTGCGCAGCCTGCTGGCTCTCCAGGGGTCGAAGCAGAACATATTACTGATTTTAGCTCTACCTCACGGATACTTAATTATTCTTAAATAACTTTAGAAAAATATTGTCTCCTTGTAAAATGGCTGTGGAGTCTTAATTACAATGACTTTACGTGTTTATTTGGAGAAAAATGAGATCTGTACAGTTCTGGCCCTTTGCCCTGAAGCAGAGTATCTTCTGTCCAGGTCATGTTTGCAACCTTTGGTGCAAGGTCATGGTTTTACCTGGTAGGGTTAACCGCGAGGAGCCTGCAGGAGTTCTCTAGTCAGAAAGTCCTGCCATCTGCTGCCGCAGTTCTCCTTTCTAATTATGCACATTACTGCTACATTTTGTAACTCCGTACTCAGACTGGGTCATAGGAGGACAAGACATGTGATAAAAGCTCAAGGGCACTGGAGCAGATGTAACACCAACAACTGATTTTAAAACGTTTAATAAGAAAGAAAAAATAAAACAATACAGTGTTTAATGAGCCACCATACAGTGAGTCTGTTAAGCTAAGCAGGTAGCTCACAGGAGCTGTCTCTCCACCAGGCCAGGACTCGGCAGAGCACTGTTCTCTTCCACCTGGAGGCTGGCCTCTCAGAGGTGACCCAGCCCAGGGGTGGCTTCTGGAGCGCCGCACAGGCCGAGCTCGGCACGGGGAGCTGGCCCTGGAGCCGGCCTCAGGACTGCGAGCAGGCGATTGGATGCTTGTGCAGAGGGGCCTGGGATGTTTCTGCTTGGCCCTGGGCTGAGCTGAACAAGAAAAGCCTGACTGGGGTAATTTCAGGATCTGAGAGAAGTGGATGATGCATTTGTTGCCAGAGGTCAGCTTTGGCAGGAAGCCAGAGCGCCATGCTGCCAAGCCCTCCTCCCCACGGAGGGCTCTCCGCGGCCTTCCTCTCCGCTCCGTGGTGGGTTGGAAGATGTTGGCTTCTCTGGGAAGTACTTGTGATATTCTTGGCTTTGACTTGAGTAATGAGCAGTGCTGCCTCAGGCGGTGCAGCCTCCATTCCCACCGAGGTTCAGGTCGCTCAGGACTGTGGAGGGGCCTGGGCTGCTTTCTGGTTTCTCACCTTTCTCAAACTGGAAACCTCTCAGTCGCAGGTAGAAAAGCTGTTCTGACCTTTGTCGTGGTTGTCCAGGGATGAAGTCACAGACAGGCGGGTGACTGGGCAGCGCAGTGTGCCAGGCTCCAGGGCCGCCCCCGGAGGAGGGGTGCAGCTGTCTGTGGCCGAGACGGTGAGGAAGGGCCTCTGACTCGCGTGTCTGGCCTTGCAGTGAACTTCAAGGCGCTGATCATCGCCATGTCCGTGCTGGGCGGCTCCCTCGTCCTGGGCATCGCTGTGGCCTGCTGCTGCTGCTGCTGCAGGAGGAAGAAGAGCCGGAAGCCGGATAAGAGCGACGAGCGGGCCGCGAGGGAGCAGGAGGAGCGGCGCATCCGGCAGGAGGAGAGGTGAGGCTGCGGAGCTGCCACCGGGATTTCCCAGGCTGAGGGGAGCCTCGCAGCTGGCCATGTGCCTAACAGCCGAAGCAGCTGAGCCTTTGGTGCCCAGCTCCGCTCCCTTAGGATGAGCTGGGAGGCTCACAGCATTGGGCATCAGCCTAATCTCTCAGAAAGAGGAGAAAGCTTTAGTGGAACGCCCTGGGAGCCTGGCTGTCCCTCACCTTGACCTCGGTGGGGTGTGGTTGGATGGCCAAGCTTGTCCCCACCTGGCCTCCTGGGAACCAGTGCCTCAATTCTAGGAGGGGAAGATCCATCTTTTATGTTGGCATTGTGCTGTTAGGTAGTTAGATGCTGTCTGATTTTTTTTTTTTTTTTTGCCTTTTTGAGACAGGGTCTCGCTATGCAGTTCAGGCTGGCCTTGAGCTCATTTTGTAGCCCAGGCTGGTCTCGAACTCACAACGATCCTCCTGCCTCAGCCTCCCGAGTGCTGGGATTACAGGCATGTGCCACCACGCCCGGCTATAATGCTGTCTGATTTTTTTCATTGAGTGTATTGGTACATTTTAGGTACTGTATACATAATGGGGGGTCACATTCATCATAGGGAATTTGGACGTGTATATGGTATAGCTTCTTTTTTTTCCCCCCATCCCTCTCCCCTTCCTTCAACCCCTCTTCCCTTCCTTATGTACAAAGCTTCATTTCCATTTTCCCTTCTTTTCTCAGCTTTTTGTTTTCCCTTCCTTCCTTTCCCCCTGCCCCCTCCCTTGTTGCCTTTCACATTTGGACATTTTCTTCCTATTTCACAGTACCTATTACACATTTTGGTCCTTATTTATACTTTTGGTTTCTTACACCAGAGAAACAGTATGATATTTGCACATGTGTGTCTGATTTATTTCACTTTTAGAGTGGTCTCAAGGTGCATCCATTACCTAGAAAGGCCTCAAGCTTGTCCTTTATGGCAGAGTACTCCATTGTATAAAAATACCACATCTTTATCCACTCACCAGGTGGTGGGCATTTGGGCTGTTTCCAAGATGTGGCTGTTACAAGCGGTGCTGCTGTAAACATGGACGTGCATATATTGCTGTGGCATGATGCATTTCATACTTCCAGGAGGATGCCAAGAAGGGGAATGGCTGGGTCATTTGGGCCTCTAGTCCTAGTTATTTGAGGAATCCCCATGCTGATTTCCACGGTGGTTACACCAGTCCACACCCCACCAACAGTAGAGAGAGGTTCCTTTTTCCCCAAAGCCCCACCTGATGTTGTCTGATGAAAATTTTTTTTTTATCAGGAGAGCAGAGATGAAGTCAAGACATGATGAAATCAGGAGGAAATACGGTAAGAGTGCTCTGTGTCCTTTCTGTTGTTGGGTGCCGGTGCCGAGCCTCTTCCTCCTGTCACAGCCGAGCGGAAGGCTGTGCCTGTCCTTCTGGCACGGCAGCGCCAGGCCTCTCCTTGGGTGCTGCTGGCTCACAGCGCAGGCCCACTGACCCTGTGCCCCGAAGCAAGCTGTGCCCAGCCGCAGCTCTGAGCACTGGGTGTGCGACCCCTTCCCAGCGCCGCTGGGTGCTTTGTCTTGCTTGGTTTTGTTTAAGGAGACCTCGGCAGGTGACTTTGAAGGAGAGAGTGAAAGTACGTGTCACGTGTGAGCTTTTCATGTGTTCTGCACTTCCTGAGTGACGTGCTCTTCACGGGCGCTGCCTTCTGCTGTGTGCTCCTGTGTCTGGTGGCCTCAGCTGGTTTTAAAGCTCATGGTGACCCCTGGCTTCCTGTGCTGGATTTCGGGCTGCGCGGTTGTAGGCATCCCCTTCGCCCACTTGAACCTGCAGCTCTAGCCTGCGCCCATGCTGTCTGTCCTGAAGTGCTGTGTGGAAAGTGGACACCTTGGGGAGGGCTCTTTTCTTTCCTTCTTTAGTCTTTTTGAAATAGGGTCTCGCTTTGCTAGTCTCGAACTCGCAACAGTCCTGCCTCAGCCTCCCGAGTGCTGGGATTACAGGCGTGCGCCACCACACCCGGCGAAGGCTCTTTCCTAACGAGCATGTTTTTGGAGTTCTTATTTGAATAGGGAAATGGTCCTTCAGTGGGTCTTCGGTATCCTACCTGTGGTCCAGTCACTGTGACATGCTGTCACTGTGATTGTCTCTCGTGTGGGGGACGTAGCAAGACCTGGAATCACCCCTGAGCAGCTCAGCTCTCCAGGCGCAGCCTGTTGGACTTCGCACTCCCTGGGGCCTCGTCCCGCCCCCTCTGTCGGCGGTGCCCTTGCTGGGAGGAGGTCCTCTGTCCACTTGGGCCACCTGGGAAGTCACACTGCTCTGTGAACTGAAGCTGGCGCCCCATAGCACAGCTTTTGGCGCTTGCTGCCCCAGTCTTTGGCTGCTTGTCTCCTCCCTTCGAGGCCGGGTGCTGGCAGCCGCCTGGTCTCCTGGCTACCACACCTGGCCCGGACCCCTCCTGCTCCCCACCCTGGACCTGCAGGAGGGAGGGTAGTGGCGCTGACTCCGGGTCCTCTTGTCACACGGGCGGGGGCAGCGTGTTGGCGCTGTGTGGCGAAGGGCAGCAGCACAGGCTCGTCGAGACGTTGCGTCCCGTCTGTCCTCTGCCCGCCGCCGACTGCGGGCTGCTGCTGAGCTTCGCGCCTTCTGAGGCCTTGGTTTGAAAAGCACGTTGGTGATTACAGGGATGTTTAGGGTGAGGTGGTTTTGCTTCACTTTGTATCGTTAAAGTCTAGCACTGTGGAAAGAATATTTTCTTTAAGTTTCATAATTTTTGTTTGTAAATATCAGCAAATATCTTTGTCTCTTAAGAACTGTTGGAATTACTGTTTTCCTGGAAATTTTACTTCAGTTTGTTTTATTTATTTAATGGTACTAGGGATTGAACCCAGGGTCTTTGTACTGAGCTACATCTTTAACCCTTTTTATGTAAACAAGGACTGGCTGCTTTTAAATTTGGAATCTACCTGCCTCAGCCTCTGTGGTTAAACATGTGCAACCATGCCTGGCTTCACTTTTGTTTTTGTTGTTCTTGTTTTGGTTTCCTTTTTTTGAGACAGGATCTCCCCTATGTAGTAGGCTGGCCTTGAACTCACTCTGTAGCCTAGGTTGGCCTCAAACTCACAGCAGTCCTCCTCCCTCTCAGCCTCCCAAGTGCTGGGATTGTGGGCATGTGCCAGTGTGCCAAGCTCTTCATCACTTTCTTCTTTTTTTGGTGTTTTTGAGACAGTCTCCCTACACAGTTCAGGCTGGCCTTGAGCTCACTTTGTAGCCCAGGCTGGTCTGGAACTCACAACGATCCTCCTGCCTCAGCCCTCCCGAGTGCTCGGATTACAGATGTGAGCCACCACGCCAGGCTTTCATTTCTGTTTTAAAGCCGCTTCATTGTGGTTTGACTTCACAAAGCACCATGAGCACAGTGTGAGTTGCCTGAGAACCCATCTTCCCCTGGCTTCAGAAATCTTCACATAAACGTGGTGTGGTATCCCATGCCTTGTAATCCCAGCATCTGGTAGGCTGAGGCAGGAGGGTCTCAAGTTCAAGGCCAGCCTAGACTTTAGCAAGGCCCCTTCTCAAACACAAGAAAGAAAACTGTACATAGAACTTAGCAGATTTGCATTGCTTTTGGGAATCTTGTTTCCAGTTGAGCGACTGTCTTTGTAACTCACATTCTTTGTTTTTTTTTTTTTTTTCTTTTCAGGTTTGTTTAAAGAGAAAAACCCATATGAGAAGTTTTAAACAACTAACACGCACCTTCGGACAGATCAGGCAGCCCCGGAGCTTCCCGTAGGGACACATCCCTGGCCTAGATGAGTGACCGGGCCGGCCGGGAGCTCCCAGGACAATCCCTCCTTCCTGCAAGCTGGGGCTGTCCATTCCCGCGTCTGCTTTGTCCCTAATCACACGAGGCCTGGTCTCTTGGGTCCACTAGGGGCCGGTTCTCCTCTGCGAGCCTGTTCTGAGCTGATCCTGGTGCACGCACTGCCCACCGCGTGTCTTTCCTGCCCACGGCGCTCAGCGCAGCTGGGAACACAGTGCCTTGTCCATTGCAGAGCTGGCCGACCACCGGCAGCTGCCCAGACACGGTGGGGTCCCCACACTCCTTTCTTGGACTTTCCGTGTAAGTCAGGTGGCTTTGGGAAGACAGTGCCCCAGCACCAGAGTGATACGGATTTACCTCCTGACCCGAGTACCTTGTGTAGCATTGAAGAACAGAATCATCTGAAATCGTTTCTGCAGACCTTGAACATCTCCAAAAACGATTTCATCAAAAAACGTTCTTTATATAAAAGTGCAGGCTCCTCTGGACGGCATCTTTAGTAGGCCATGAAAATCTGTTTCCCTGTGGAAATGTGGATTAGAGATGTTCGTCAGAGCAGCCCCACCCGCCTGCCCAGGGCCTGGAGGGAAGTGCTCTCTCTGGGGCTCTGGTCCCACCTGCCAGCTCTCTGGGACCCTGGAGTCGGCAGGCCTGTGCCCAGAGACCTTGGCGCCGAGACACTCGTGGCCTCCTGGGTTCCCCAGTGGGACCCAAGCATCCGTGATCTGCCCATGGTGTGTTTCCTTAAGAGCGAGATGCCTGTCCCCGTGGTGGCCAGAAGCGGCGTGCTGTGGAGTGGCTGTGCCTTGGGGGACGCTGGAACACAGTTTGGGTGCCGGTGCTCCAGGTCGGCCGGCAGTGAGGAACAGTGTGCCCTGTGACCGCCACCTGCACCTGTGTATTACAAAACATTCCTAAGTATTTCGTAGTAGTCAGGATGTTGCCCTCTCTACTCGTGGAAGGAACTTTCTAACAGACTAATGAGCTTCGTGCTAACACAGTAGTGCCCATGTGAAATCACACTTTGTCTGATTCAGGTGCCGAGCAGAGAGCAGAGCTGCCCATTGCTCAGTAGAGTGCCTTTGGCCGGGAGCCGCGTGGTCAGCCCTGGCCCGCCTGCTTTCCTCCGAACTGGCGGCAGCGCGGAGCTGTGCCCTCCTAGAGACTAGCAAGCCCCAGTGCCTTACTTTATAATTCGTCTCCAATAAAGCAGTGTCCCTCCTGGTTGGTTTGTGACATGTGTTCCCTGTGCCCTGCCTCCCCACAGGAAGGGGCCCTGGACCGTGGCGTCGGGGGCTGTGCACCTGGGTGCCCCAAGATGTTGAGCCACTCCACCGCTGCGCACGGCCCCCTGGAGCAGGCAAGGCTGTGTCCTGGAATTGTCCGCGTGCGCTGCCCACATGTGCAGGTCCCGGCTGTCCTGTCTCAGGTGTCTGCTGTGCCTGGGGCCCACCCTCTGCATGGCGGTCTTTTCCTCTTTGGGGCTGGGCTCCGAGGGCAGTGTGGCTGAGGACAGACCTTGCTGTGCCCTCCTGGAGTCCACAGCACCAGGCCTGGGAGTGAGTGCACAGGGTGGCAGAGATGGGTGTGCATGGTGCCGCCTAGATGGAGGATCCCCTCGCCACCAGGGCTCTGCGGCCGTGTTAGCCACGGTTGAAGCAGCCGCCTCAGGGCAGAAGCAGAGGTGGACTCAGCAGACCCTGCTTTCAGGAAAGCACTGGCATGGGGCGGTGTTACGGCCTGCGGTCCTCACAAAGAGGTAGTGGCCCCCAGGAGGGCAGCAGTGCACCACAGTGGGGCCAAGGAAACCGGTGGAGACCCCAGGCTGCAGGTGGCTCCGCTTGTGCAGCCCCCCCGCCCCATTTCCTGCTGGGCAGCAGAGCTCAGGACAGCTGGGGCCCATTTGGCAGCCCAAGGGGCTCTGACCCTTGAGCAACCCCAAGCCATGCCCCCTGCCTTTGCCGGGGTCTACAGGTCATAGGTGGGGTCCACACCCCAGCAGCTGGCCCTGGAGAAGTTGCAGCCTAGTGGGAAGCAACCGCGGGTCGGCCTTGCGGGGTGGTGCTACCCTGTTCCGTGCTGCGCAGGCCCCTGGTGTGGGGACCTGGTCTGCTCAGCTGGCTGTCTGGAAGCTGAGAGGATCCCGCTGGCAGCCACAGTGGCTGAGGAGCTGCCGCCACATGTGGGGAAGGTGGAGGCAGCACAGTCTGCTGTCTGGGACGAAGGTGGCGCTAGTTCCCTCTGCTGCCTGCGTGTCTAGCCTGGGGCAGGGACAGAGGACACCTGGGGATGGCCCCGTGTCCCCTCTGCCCTGACTGGCCCTTTAAGGAAGTGAATGCTCAGCCCGGACCACAGCTACTGCTGTGTGCTTCTGCACAGCAGGACCCCGGCTGCCCCTCCTGGACCCGCCCTGCAAAGTGGCACAGGGACCAACAATCCCCCGCTTATGACAAGGGGGCTGGCTGTGTACCCTTGTGGATGGTGCAGTGGCCTGGGGCGTCGGCACCCCCTGGAGGGGACACGGCCCCGAGTGTGCCAGGCGAGCGCCGTACTACCAGCTATGCAGACAGGCTCTCCCTGAGTTGTGGGGCTGCCTGTGGATTTGGAATCGTCCTGCGGAGGCCTCTTGCACAGCATCCTGGCTGTTCTTACCTCGTCGTCTGCTCCAGCCCTGCCCTGAGAGGTGGGGTGTTCCCGCCGAGGGAAGGGGGCCTGTGGACGCCAGCCGCCCAGAGCTGCCTACAGGAAAGCACGAGTTCGAAGCTGGGGAGACGCTGAGCTGTGGCAGGTTGTGGTGGAGGTTGGGGGCAGAGGAGCAGCCAGCCAGGGAGAGGCGCTGAGCTACGCCGCTTCACGGCTCTGCCCACTGCGCCCAGCCACCGCCTTCAGCCGCGACGCCCTGTAGTCTGGGCTCAGTCATCCCAGCAGCGCCAGGCCGCAGCCTCGGCCAGCCTCGGGTCCCGCCGCAGCCCCAGGCAGGGCTCGCCCTCCGTCCTGCGTCCTTCCTTCCTGGCTGGCCCACTCCGGCCCTCCCCCTCGGGAACCTGGGTCCAGTGCAGCTCTGCTGCCAGGGGCCCACACCACCAGCCCTGCAGGCTGCCTGCCCCGATGGACCAGGTCGCAGCGGGGCGCGGGGAGGCCTGTGGTGGCCACCTGTGCACCACCTCCATGTGTCAGGGTGCCAGGTCCCTGGAACTTATTTCCGGGAGTGTCTGGGAGGGCGTGTGGGTGGCCTTGGCGTTGGGTTGGAGGGCCGGGCGGAGCAGGTGGCTGACAGCAGCGTGGGGTCATTGCTTGTGGAGGCCTGGGCACCACACTCAGTGTGGGGACCCGACCCTGAGGCCGGGTGACTATGCACTGTGAACTTCATAGGCTAAAATGTTTTTCGTCTGCACTCACAAGGTTAGCACATTTGGTTTTTAGTGCTGAGCCTGTGCGGGAATGACTATTGATGCTTTCTTGGCTCCCTGTGGTATAAAAGTTTTGGTAGAATATCTTGCTTTTATTTATTTTTGGTTTTTGAGACAAGGGCTCGCTGGATAGCCCAGGCTGGCTTTGAACTTGTGGCAATCCTCCTGCCTCAGCCTCTTAGGAACTAAGATTGAAGGCGTGCAAGATTCCATGCCATTTTTTCGGCAGGGGCTCATGACAGAAGATCTGTGGAAGGGCTGGAGATGACATCCTTTTTAGGAGCTAGGTATTTTAATACTGCAGTTTTTTCCATGGTTATTGGTCTGTTATGCTGTCTAGCTTTTTGGTTCTAAGGATTGAACCTTATGAACCTTAAGCAAGTGCTCTACCACTGAGCTACACCCCCAGCCCTTTACCAAGTTTTATTTTGAGGCAGGGTCTTGGTAAGCTGACCAGACTGGCCTTAACTTGTAACCCTTAGCTCCTATATGCTGGGGTCATAGGCTTCAGCTCGATTTCAAACCTACTTTTTTTTTAGACAGGGTCTTCCTTGGGTCTAGGCTGGCCTTAAACTCACTACACACCTCAGGCTGGCCTTGAACTTGCCTCAGCCTCCCAAGGGATCTTCCTACCTCAGCCTCCTGAGTGCTGGGATGATAGGCATATACCACCACGCCCAGCTGCATTGGTACAAATATTAACAAGGTTAAAAATATCTCATCTCTGGCTGTTCTGTTGGATTCTTTCTTTTTGCATTTTTTGTGATCATAATCTTTTTTGAGGGGGGCAGTGCTGTGGAGTGAACCTAGGGCCTTCATACTGAGTTACATCCTCAGCCCATTTTTTATTTATTGATTTATTTATTTGAGACAGGGTCTCACTCTGCAGTTCAGGCTGGCCTTGAGCTCACTTTGTAGCCCAGGCTGGCCTTGAACTCACAATGGTCCTCCTGCCTCAGCCTCTCGAGTACTGGAATTACAAGTGTGTGCCACCACGCCTGGCTGTTGTTTTTTTTGTTTTTTGCTTTTTTGCCATTTTTTATTTTGAGACAGGTCCCACCAAGTTGTCCAGGCTGGGTGCAAACTCATAATCCTCCTGCCTCAGCCTCCCAGAGTGCTGGGATTACAGGTGGCAAGATGCCTGGCTTTTTCTAATTTTACTTGTGTTTCACAGGAGTAATGCCTGCATCTGTGGATGGAGTGTCTGTTTAGTTTTTCTCTCCCGGAGGGGGATCTTGGTAGTAGTGACGCCCTGGGTCTCCTCCCATGCTGGCCTAGCCAGCCAGGCAGCAGCTTGAGGAGCGGGATGTGGTGGAGGGATGTGGTAGACGTGAGCCTGCGTGACTTGGAGCCTCTGCCCTGGGGCCGTGCACCGTGGCCTCAGCCCTGTGGAGAGGCCCCAGCAGACCCACCGAGGCCTGAGTGCTGACAGCCAGCACGCTTGCTCCCAGGTGAGGCCCAGGCCGCCTGGGGCCATGCCTCGGGGTTTGGCCCAAGTTGGTGATCAGAAAACATGCACGTAAATAAAAATTTGCTGTAAGCCTTTGAGTTTAGAGAGTTCATTATTTGTCAAGACACTTAATACATTATTACAGTTTTATTCAGTATATAAAATAACTGGTATTTTTATAAAATACAAGAAAAAGAAAAGAGAGAGAGAAAGAAAGAAAAGAAAGAGAAAGAAAGAAAAAGAAAGAAAAGAAAAGGGAAAAAGGACCAAGCGTGGTGGTGGGACACACCTGTAATCCCACCACCCTGGGAAGCTGAGGCAGGACAATCTCAGGTTCAAGCTCAGCCTGGGCAATTTAGCAAGATCCTGTTTTAAGGACTGACATGTAGCTTCATGTAAAGACCCTGGGTTCAGTCCCCAACCTTCCACACACACACACCACAGACCACACACACACACAAAAATGAAATTCTAAACATAGCAATAGTAACATAAAACACGTAGTGATAAATGTAACAAAATACGGGTAAGACTGACGCTAAGACAGATGCACTGAAAACTGAACATTACTGAGAGAAATTAAAGACCCAAACACGGCACTCGCGGCTCAGAGGACTTGGTATTCTGTTTCAAATCCAGTAACACACTTCACTGTGGTCCAGTCGCTGTAACGTAGATTTGCCGTCTTCATCCCCGCCCAGCGTGTGTGAGGGGTGTGACGCACCTTGGCAGCGCTCTGCAGCTGTCAGACCCTGACCTCTGGCAAAACAGAAACAACCCGCTTAGCAGCACCCGGCCCAGCCCAGTTCCTGACGGCAGCCATCCTTCTGCCCTTGTAGGTTGGACTCTTAAGTGTCTAAAACCAAAGAAAAAGTTGCTGAGCTTTGGGGGAAAAGAAACGCAACCAGAAGCGGGTGGGGTACCGGAAGGTGGCCAGCGTGCTGCCCACCGCACGGACCGAGGCCACCTGCAGGGACCACCACCAGGCCACCTCCTGGGCACGGACGTCTCCGAGCCACAGCACGACATCTGGGTTTCGGCAGCTGGCATGGGAGCCGGGTCGCCCACATGACAGCCAGGTCAACTGGACTACCAAGGACCCGCAAAGCCCTGCTGGGTGGGTCTTGGCAGCTTCAGGATTTCCCTCCCCCCCACTCCCTCCTGCTCTCTCTCTCTTTCTTTCTTTCTTTCTTTCTTTCTTTCTTTCTTTCTTTCTTTCTTTCTTTGTACTGGGAATCAAATCCAGGGCCTTTGCATTGAGCTATAACTCCAGCCATCTTTTAATTTTTATTTTGAGACAGGGTCTGGTTAAATCACTAAGTTGTCCAGTCTGAGCTCAAACTTGTAGTCCTCCTGCCTCAGCCT